AAATAAAAGGAGGAACTTTCAATGACTGCACAAATCTGATAGCACTGTGAGTTAAAAAAACTATTATTATAAAAATTCACAAATGACTTTTTATTTATTACTGGACAAATTAGACAGTTTGATGCTGGCTTTCATATGAATATTGTTGGTATTAAGGTGTATTTGCCGACTGGAGCTCGAAAAGGTTTTTCCGAGAAAAATATGCTTAAAGAAAAACACATCAAATCTTCAATAATCTATAAATCGTATCGATAACTGTTCCAAATGCTGTCCAAACACTGACCATCATGTGCTGTCAGCCTGAGGCCCCGTCCACACGTATCCGGAAATTTTTGTATCCGCAAATTTTTGTATCCGCAAATTTTTTTTTACGGATACGGGTTGCGTCCACAAGTGTCCTCAAATTTTTGTGACCGTATCCGCAAATTCTACGAAAACGGACACGCGTGGACGGTGAAAACGATTCGAACACGCTGTGTGTGGATACAAAAATTTCCGGATACTTGTGGACGGGGCCTGAAAGAATAAGACCAGACTCCATTGCACATTTTCTTTCGTTCAGTTAATTAGCACCAATGTATTACTATCTGAACGTGGGTTTTTACTTGAGAAATAACTGATTTGTTTACTTTTTCCTGTCTCTTTAAAGGAGTTTAATTTATAATGAGATCGAGGTTCTTTATCCTGATTCATTTAAAGGATTGTATAGCTTAACTATGCTGTAAGTAACTAGTAGAAGTACTATCTGTATGTATTTGTATCTAGTTTCTTTGCTTGTTATGTAAATTCACCATCCTCGACAACATTTCCTTCAAAGTGCATACATACTATTAGCCATTCCGAGGTTGAGAAAAATTGGGACGAGTTGAAATTGCAGTGCATTAGATTACATATTTCCAAGATGACGTCTATTTTGTCCCTTAAATCAGTCCCACAATGCACTACAATGCCGCCAACTCGCCCCAGTTTTTCTCAACCTCGGAATGGCTAATTCAAATTGCTTAACGACAACGGTGTTTTCAAGTTCCCGCGCTAATAAAGCACGTGAGTGTCTTGCGTATATTCAGGTTACAACAATTTTAAATTCATTTGCACTTTGAACGACAAAAACCAAATAATTCCTAATTTAAACAGCCAAAGTTTGTTGAGGTTGAATGGATAGCAAGAAATACAAATTAAGCTATGATTACAACATCAGCGGCCGTGTCAGAACAGTATACATCCACTAATGGTTGTATTCAATTAGCATATTCATTGTAAATTTTGTATAGGGTTTACATGATATTCATGTGACATGATTTCTGAAATTGGATTGGCTCGGGCCCTCACTATTTATTCATGAATATTTTCAATGAAAATATTCAATTGCGTTGTTTTATTTTAGGAACATCTCCGACAATCGTATCAGCGTATTACTCCCAGGAATATTTTCACCAATGAAGTATATAAACCAGATGTAAGTACTTACTAGCTTTTATTTAGCATACACCTAATCCCTTGTTTTTCCATTTCAGACCACATGTCATTCCCTAGAGTATTTCTTTTTTTTTGGCTGTACAAGAAGGCGCCTAAATACATTGTTACTTCAATATTATATCTTATTCTCGAGAGAATTACAACCGTTAACAACAAAGAGAAGTCTTCTCATGTGCAACCGTTTAACATAGAAATAATACACAAGGGAATGACACGTGGTGAAATGGGAAAACATTGCACCAGAGCCGAGGATTGTCTCATGGTCACTCAAGCGAATAGTAATGCTTTACAGTTCCCTGTGCCTTCTTGTAATA